CATATGTTTGTATTTGGAGTATGGGAGTATGCTGATTCTGAAAATGTAAGTTTTATGTGAATGTGATGCATACTTTTCAACTTATGAATAATGTGGAAAAACTGTATTTCTCTGCCGGTGATAATTACATTACCCATTGTGTAAGGTAATTGTATCACAGGCAGAGGGGAGGATTTTGTGTGGGAGTGTCTGAGTGTGTTGTATGTGTTTATTGGTTATTTTCCAAAACCCTGTGGGTGGTACTAATGTGTATATAAAAACAATAAACCCACAGCTCTGACTGTTCCTGCTCGACCCTCAAAACGGATCCTTGTCTCGTTCTTGGGGGGATTTATTGTATGCTGTTCCAGTTCGACTGCTAGGAGTGTAAACCTATTCGTATGGTTTTTCCTATTCGGCTGTTTACGGCATTCATATGGTTTCCTGTTCGGCAGATTGGTGTCTGTGGTAGCTGCCTGTATATCTGGAAGGGGAATATCTCCTAAACGGCTTTTAACCCCTTTTATGCCTGGGGGTGCCGTTACAGGCGAGTTTTATCTATTAGTTGGGGCATGGAGGGGCATTCGGCGGTTTTCCACTTTTGTGCCAGATGGTTTCTAGCGGCCATGAATATTAACAACATAACCTGTTTTTCGCCTGGGTTTAGGTGTGCAGGTAGTAAGAGCATCAGACATATAAGTACGGTCATAGGGAAGTCTGGAATTTCTAATGTGTTTAAAACAGAACATACCATTGTCCATAGTGGTTGTATGTCTTTACAGGACCACCACACGTGTAGTAGTGAGCCCACCTCCAATTTACAGCTCCAGTAGGTGGATGGTGTAGAGGGAAATATGTGTTGGAGTCTCCGGGGGGTCATGTACCATCGGTACATAAGTTTCCTGTGGGCTTCTATGTGGGAGAAGCAACGGGTCCATTTGGATAAACCGTTTAGGGCCGCAACCATTCCTCATCAGTCAGTGTTTCCCACAGTCTGATTCCCACTGAGCCCTATGTGGTTGGGGTTTAGATGGTGTAACCTCTTGCCATCCTTTTTATAGCATAGCGTTAATGCCTTTGATTTGGTCGGTGTAGACCAGCATCTGTCTATAACCAGGCAAGAGTTTATCCAGTTGTGTGTTTGTGCAAGTTTTGCATATATTTTGGCATCTCCATTTAACACTGAAATGGGCCTGAAGTTCTTACATTGTGTCGGGGCTTTACCTGGCTTAGGGAGAGTAGAAATATGTGCCACCAACATCTCCTCCGGGAGAGCACCCTTCATGGCACTCTGGTTGAGGACATTAAGCAAATGGGGGGAGATGATGGTAGAGAAGGTCTGGAAATATGCGTTGGAGAGGCCATCGGGGCCTGGAGATTTATGGGCTGGGAGGTGGGAAATAACCGCTGAGAGTTCATCTAAGGAGAAGGGTTGTGTTAGGAAATGTTGGTCCTCTGCAATCAATCTAGGCAGATTCACATCTCTTAAAATACTGTAAATTGTCTCGGGGGCAGGGATAGTCGTTTTGGGGTCGTTCTTAAAGTTGTATAGCTCTTCCTAATTTGCAAACTGGGTCACAATTCATTGCGGATGTTAAATTTTTTAAGAGCTTTTTAATTTTTTTTAAAGAGCTGTTAAGAAAACAGCATCCTATGCAGTAAGATAGTGACATCTGTATTAAAGTGTTCATTTTACTTCAAGACTGAGGTATTTATGTTAAAATCTTTATAAGAGCTTTGTAAAACACAGCATCCTTTTGCAGTGAGTTACTGAGATCTGTTTTTTAAATTGTTTAAATCTTTTTGCTCCAAGACTGACTCCAGATCCTGCTTAAGTTAAGTTCTTTCTAAGATTTTTATTTATTTATTGAACCTACTGTTCCTCAAATACCAGACACAAGTGACAAGTCAAAGAAAAAAAAAAAAAAGCACCCAATGTTCTTCTCAAACAAAGAAAATAAAATATGATGACAGCTACTTGTCATTTGGATTCACAAGTGCCAGAAATGAAGAGATTGTCCTGAAGCACAATGCTTACTTTGCAAGAAAATATTGCCAAACAGTTCGTTAGCACCTGCTAAATTACGTCGTCATTTTGAGCAAAACCATGCAGCGTACAAAGATAAAGACAATGCCTTTTTTAAGCGAAAGCTTCAGGAGTATCAGAAGACTAAACAGTTTATGTGCAAAAAAATTTAAAATGCTAATGAAAATGCAACAGAGGCTTCTTACAGCGTGAGTTACCACATAGCACTTGCCAGAGAAGCACACACACAATTGGGGAATCATTAATAAACCATGTGAAAAAGAAATAGTGTCTTGTATTTTAAGTGAAAAGTTGAGTCAAACAATTGAAGCTGTGCCACTTCCCAGCAACACTGTTTTGCTCCATATTCATGATCTTGCTTATGACATCTATATTAAACTAATTTCTCTACTGCATCAATGTGATGGGCACTCACTACAATTAACGAGTCTATAGCTGTTGCAGGACTTTCAATTTTGTTGGCTTTTGTTAGATCTAATTTTGACAAACTGATAGAAGAAGACTTGTTTCTGTGGGAAACTTTACAAACTCATACCACTGCTGAGAACATTTTTAACTGTATCCAGAAGTTCATGAACTTCCAACGCAATGGTTGGGAAAGTGGCAGGCGCTGTGACACACAAAAATTTTTTTTTAGCAAAAAACAGCACCAATTCTCACTGTGTTCTTCACAGACATGCACTGGTAGCTAAAAACATTTCAATCTCACTTAAAACGGTGCTAGACAAATTGACTATTACTGTTACAGTCACAACTTCAAATTATATGTGAAGATAGGAATAGTCACCACTCTGCTCTGCTATGGCATTCAGAAATCCGTTCGCTTTCACAAGGTAAAGTCCTTGTTAGAATGTTTGAATTGCGTCAAGAGTTGCATATTTCCATCATAATCATAAATTTGAATTATCTGATCGATTAACAAACATTTTGTGGTTTTATCACTCCAAGGTTAAAACATTAAAAATTTTAATGCAAGAGGTAAAATATTTTCAGTCTTGTAAATTGCAGTTTTGGACCTCATCTGTTGAGCAAAATAATTTGAACTCTTTTCCAACACTTAAGGATTTTCTTGAAGAAACAGAAATTAAACTTGAAGATGAAATTTGCAAGGAAATTGTAGATCATCTTCGCCATTTAATCACATCTATTAATTAGGGTTTATTCTAGACTCTGTGAAGGAATAATCAAAATTTTATTAAAGACAGGAGGTGAATATTTGCTTTACCTTCTTTACTGAAACCTTCAGCAGCAAATAAATAGTTAACATAACTTTTAGAAACAACCAAACAGAACAAAGGAACAGTATAATAAAACTCTCAGGCAGACCCTCCTAATTCCTCTTTCTTTGATGAGGTTAAGCAGGAGACCATGAAATCCAACTCCAAAATCTTTTTTTTTTTTTTGCTTGAGGGTATGTGCCCACAAACAAGATGGCTGCAGTGAGAGCGGAAGTGATCCTGATCACCCTGATGAAAGGAAGGTGAGGAAATTGACCTCACAAGAAGCTAAATCAGGATTGGAGGACCGCCCACTGGATGAAGAAACCGGCATATTTAAAAAGCAGCATGAAGACAGACAATGAGGATACTGATTGAAAAAGCCCCCATAGTGTGGGTGAAACGCGTCTCGGGACTGGAGCTAATTACTGGGACATTCTTTATCTTATATAGAAGCAACTGGATATTTTTATTTAATTCTATGTTTTTGTTTTTATATTTAAAGTTGCAATAAATGTATGTATTTTAAACCAAGTCCCATCAGCTTCTAACTTCATCTTGCTGCTAAAGAAGGGCAGGTGCCCCCTCTAGAGGTACCCAGGTCTATCATCCAGAGCCAGGTTCTCATTGGCTCAGGAAAAGGTGAGCACAACCATAACCACTGTGTTTTTTATTTTGGTTGAAACTTAATACACTAGGAAGTCTCCCTTTCTCTCTCCTTTGAGTAAATCCATTCCAGGCAAAATGGTGCAGTGTCTCCATACAACACTACTGTGCAAGTGATTTGAGTCTGTCCCTTTGAGGCTCTGATCAATGCGAGTTTGACTACTTGAATTATCATCAAAATACATCATCACCTGTGGATTTGCACTATATTGTGTTTTATTTTTTGTTTCCTTTATATGTACTGATATACATCTGAGATTTAACCCTATTTTAGGGTAAGTTTATACCTTTAGCGCTCCACTCATTTGATTAGTAGAGTCTGGATGTTATATCCAGATTGTACGAAGCTCACTTTGGTTCATTACTATAACTAGTGGGGATAAGAGTATTCACTAGAGTGTGTAGCTGCCTATTTTTAACTCAATTACATTTGTAAGCACACTATACACAGTAATCACCAATCTGTAGATACAATTGTCTGGTACCAGGTGCCCAAGAGTCCCAGAGTAACTCCCTAGCCACTGTCGATAAGCCAGACACATCCCAGGAATCCCAGAAATGGTCCTGGCCACTAGTGGTAGGCGATCCTCCAATATTAATGGATGTGGATTCCCTTTTGGATCCCGCAGAAGAAACCTGGAGATAGGAAGTTGTAGAGGGTCGTTGCACGACAACTCCAGCAGTAGAGGGAAACACGGCTCACTCCTCCAAAGTGTTGCGATTAGGAGAAGTGACACTCCCAGGAGTTTATTCCGATGCAATGTCAAGAGAATCATGGAGAAAGGGGGAAACACATACACCCCCGTGGGAGTACAATCTTGGAGGAACGCATCCACCACCTTGCTGAGGGAATCCGGGAGCCAACTGAAGAACAATTCCATCTGATGATTCGCCCTGGATGCAAACAGATCCAGATGGAGGAGTCCTCGAAGGGAGTCCAGCAAGCGAAACACCGGAGGGTGAAGTTGCCAATCGCTGGCGTCTCTCTAGTGTCGGGAGAACCAGTCTGCTATGAGATTGTCCTGTCCCGGGAGGTATTCCGCTATAAGTGACAAGTTCTTGTCCAGACAGTATTGGTAGAGATCCTCTATGAAATCCGACAGCAGTTTGCAACAGGTTTACAACCGAGACGTTGTCCATGCGGAGAAGTAGTAAAGAGTGACGCTTCCCCTTGGTGAAGCTGCAAATGGCGAATGATCCTGCAATCAGTTCCAGACAGCTGATGTGAAGAGCTCTCTCCTTCAGAGTCCAGAGTCCTCCTGTCACCACAAGTGGCCCCCCAGCCCACACAACTGGCGTCCGATTCAAGGATGAAGTCCAGCCGGGATCCAAATATCGCCTTGCCATTCTAGGCCTCCATGTGTTGAAGCCACCAATAAGGTTCCAGACAGGCTTCATCGCAAAGCCCCACGATTCAGTCGTATGAGGCAGATACCTGAGATGGCGAGCCTTCAGGCATTGGTGGGCCCGATAGTGCAGGAATCCTGTAAAGATGGCTTGAATGGAGGATAACAGCAGGCATATTGTCCAGGCCAGGTCCCTTAGTGTGACCTGCGGGTTGCGGAGCAGGCGTCTGATATCCTTCCTGATGGCGGTCACCTTGGACATCAGAAGGCAGAGCACTGCCTGAACCGAATCCACCGAAAAACCTAGAAACTGGACCGCCTGAGAGGGAGTCAGTGCAGATTTTTCCTCGTTGATGAAGAATCCCAGGTCCTGGAGCAGATGGATCGTGAACTACGTCTACCGGTGCAAAACATCGGGATCCTGAGCCATCAACAGAATATCGTCCAAATAGACGAGCGACCTGAAACACCAAGGGGCGGAGCGGAGGCTGAACGGAAGGCACGTTAACTGCCAGGAGAACTGAATAAAAACACCTGTCCTTGCGGTGGATCGGGACTGAGATAGACGTCCTTTAGATCCAGTCGAGAGAACAAGTGGCCTTTGCAGAGCAGATCTCTGAGAAGATGGATGCCCTCCATCTTGAAATGTCAGTAGACGACATACGCGTTGAGGGCACACAGGTTGATTTCCGGGGGCGGAAGTACCCTGTCTTCTTCCTTACAAGGAAGATATTGCTCAAGAAGAGAGATGGGCCTTGTCCAGAAGGGCTAGTATTTCTGAATAAACTAGTTCGCATGCCTCCTTGTCCATACATATCGGCCGTGGAGCTGAGGTTTGCATCACGGTTTAGACAAGATCCATGCTGAATCCAGACATGGTCTGCAGAATCCACGGGTCTCCGGTAATGGCCTCCCACTGAGAGGAAAAAAAATGAGACAGTCTGCCCGCAATGGGTAAGTTTGGCAAATTAGGAATGACTCACCAGAAAATGTGGCATCAGAGCGGTCAGCCCGGTACTCATCCAGGATGTCATAGCCCTCCTCCACTGGCTGGTTGCCTGAACTGGAGGCCATCCTGGCAAATCTGGCAGGCATCTTCCCCTTGTCGGAGGGAGCACCATGGCCCTTCCAAGGCCTCTTACGTGCAAAGTCCATATCCACAGAGCAGAGGGAAACGCCTGAATTGGAGCTCCGAGCACCTGAGGTGCCGGATGCATGTTCTGGAGGGCCGGTGGAGTGTTACCATGGAAGGCAGCAAGAGTTCTGGGCAATGAATCCGTTGTGGCGGCACAAAGCCAGGACTGGAGACTTTATGGGGCACGAAAATCTGATTCGTCAGCCATAACTATGTCACTGCAATAGAGGTAAGACACTATCAGTGTGGTGCCTGGGGTGGCCAGCTGAGGATGACACAGTGTGCAAAAGAGGGTCATCTAACAAGCATAGCATATCCAGCAGTGCCCTATAAGTATGGTGGTAATGGGGGGGGGGGGGTCACCCCATACATAACAGGCCAGATGACATATTCCATGTGGGCCCAGGTGGCCTATAAACCTGTAATAAAAAAATACAATGTAGGGGGTGGGGTTGACATTACAGCTAGCACGCAGGGGGAGTAAGGGGACGAGGAACTGGAGGTCCGGGCTGCCCAGAACATGTGGAGCACATGGCATATAATCGCAGCACGCAGCAGAGGTCAGAGCCAATGCAGTGAATGGCCTGTGTGCCGCAGGAATTTGGCTTGATAGGCGCTGGGAGAGGGGGGCAGGAGTGAGCGCAGTGAAGCTCAGGAGGGCCCCGCCGACGCGGTCAGTGTGAGGCCTGGCAGAGAGTTTCCCAGAGGAAGCCCAACGAGTTGAAAAAATAATGACTGGGCTTGAAATCCATTCATAAAAGACAAGCCAGACAATTTTTCTGATGTAGATTTTGAGAATCTGATCGATATATATAACTTCTGACAGTCAACTAAATATTCAAGACGTTTCACTTATTGCTTTTTTGGGTGATTTATGCTATTGCCATTTGCCAACAAGTATTTATGTGAAACTGGATTCTCACTTTACTCTGCAACAAAAACAAAGTATCAAAATCGACTTGATGCAACTGCAGACATGCAGATACAATTGTCAACAATTAAACCATATATAAAAAGAATTTGCTAGCTAAAGAGAACATTACCCTCTGCTCATTTAAAGGTTTGTAAAGGCTATACTATGGTACAATTTTTTTTTTTTTTAAAGGGGGGTTCTACAATGTTGCTATACCATGTCAAAGGGTCCCACAGGACAATTTAATTGGGAAACCCTGGTGTAGAGTATTGCAGTATATTGCAGAGAATAGTAGTGTAGGGTATTGTAGTATGCATTAAGTTGCAGATTATAGTAGTGGAAATCATCACACAATGCAGTATGTTTCTGAGTAACTTATTTAAAAAAAAATTGAAACACCATGTTAGCCGTACCATGTGTAGGAGAATACAGAATTATAAAACAAATGTGGAATTGCATACTGGTTAACTTGAAGCACACATTGAATTAAACTGACTTTGTAGTCCAAAGCAGTGGCAATGGTTAAAATGAAACACAAACCAACTGTATGCAATAGAACAATCAAATTGTACAAGCACCAACTAGAAAGGACGCTTGTCTGGACCTGGTTCTAACAAACAACATTGATCTTTTGACCAACATTCAAGTAGGTGAGCACTTAGGAAATAGTGATCACAATATAGTGTCATTTGAAACAAACTAAAAAACAAAAAAAACAAAAGCACATAGGAAATACTAAAACATATAATTTTAAAAAGGCCAATTTCTATAAGTTAAGGGCAACTTTACAATATATTGACTGGCATAAACTCTTTAGTGAAAAGAACACTGAGGATAAATGAAACATCTTCAAACAAATATTAGAAAGGTACATTTCTCAGTATTGGGTAATAAATATAAAAGAAACAAGTTGAAACCAATGTGACTTAGTAGAGAAGTAAAACAAGAGATTAAAAATAAGAAAAGGGCATTTAAATTGGACAAATCAGATGCATAAAAGATATAAGGAAGCCAATAATGCGTGCAAAAAGGTGATTAGATTTGCTAAACTTCAAAATGAAAAAAATGATAGCCAAAAGAGAGCAAAACCATTTCCAAGTACATAAAAAAAAAATTAAAAAAAAAAAATGAAAGTGTAGGTACACTAAAAACTGGAATGGGGGTGTTGGTTAATGAAGACTAGGAAAAGGCAGAAATTTTAATTAACTATTTCCCCTCCGTATATGTTAAGGAAGAACCCATGCAATAGATATGCAAATGATTGCTGCTAAAAACCTGCAGAAAAATTGTAATTGGTTAACTCAAGACAAGGCGCTGCAGCAACTAAAGAAAAGTTAATATAAACAAAGCTCCAGGGCCTGACGGTATTCATCCACAAGTACTTAAAGGAGCATTATAGTGCCAGGAAAACAAATTTGTTTTCCTGGCACTATAGGGTCATTAGGTCCCCCCCCACCCTCAGGACCCCCCTCCAGCTGGGCTGAATGGGTTAAAACCCCTTTAGCCACTTACCTTTCTACAGCGCTGGGCTCCCTCTGTGCTGGGGAACTCTCCACCCCCTGCTGACATCAGATCCACGCGCGCATCCAAATAGCCCATATGAAAGCATTACTTAATGCTTTCATATGGACATCCAGCGTCTTCTCACTGTGATTTTCACAGTGTGACAGAACGCTGGCACTCCGACCGAGTACCTCCGCCAATCGATGCTCATAGTGCTTGCCGAGGACTCCAAGCACTCCACCAGACACCATAAGTACTGCAGACCCTGGGACAACGCCCTGTTGGAGAACAATGGGACAGGAAAACGGGGGAGGGGAAGAGGCACATTCTCCCATGGAATTAAAGGGGCAGAAAAAGGGTTTCAAAATCCAATATGCCCAAATAATGTTTTTAACTGGCAATATCTCCCAGGGGCCATAGTCACAAGGCAGGAGGCTGGAAATTAGTCCTCTCCAGACACAAGTGGCAAAGGGCACTTCGTCACACATCTTTCCTTTTGGGGGGAGACTAACCAGGTACCTGACCTTCTGTCGGTCAGTGCCTGAATTGGTCAAGCAGCCCACCTACAAAGTAAAATTAGCAGAGCAGCCCCCCCAAAATAAACGGTACTGGCCTGTAGGTCCCAGGTTGTAGCGTGACAGTTCAGCATCCTCGGTCTTCTTGGTGCAGCTAGGCAAAACAGCTGGGGGTACTTGGGGGGGGGGAAAGAGGACAGCGGTGCTCCGCCCTGAGGCCAGTGCTTCTGCTGGGGTAAGGGGGATACAAGCCAGCCCTGCAACAAGGGGGTTCTGCCCTGATGCCAGCTCTTCCGCTGGGGTAGCCTGCAGGAAGTCAGGCTCTGGAGAAGGGGAAAAAGGAGGGCAGAGGCTAACAGCACTCTGCCCGGATGCCAGCTCTTCTGCTGGAAGGGTGTCAGTGGGTATCACCGGCTCATCCACTGCCCCCAGGACCTGGTTGGGATGTAGCTGGGGAGGGGAGGGCTCGCTTAACTCCTCCCGGTATCCCTGCAGGGATGGTTGAGAATCTGGACCGGCCGTCCAGGATTGGCACAGAGACCGCAGTCCCATCTGCGCCAGTGGGGTTATGGTTGCTTTCCCCCTGTAGTTGAGCTGAAAAACCAGGTGTACCCTCTCCTGGTATCTCCGGCTGCTGTTGGAGAGGGAGGCCGGTTGCCTCCACTCCCCAGGACGCTGGTTGCTGTGAGGTAGAGGAATCGGGCATCTCCTCCTCCTGGAACTCAGGCCGCCGCTGGGGAGGGAGACCAGTTGTCTCCTCTCCCTGTGAGATGCACTGCCGCTGGGGATCTGGGCCGGCTGCCCAGCATCCCTGTAGGGCCAGGAGAGACACCTCGGTCCCATCTCCACCTGCCATTTGGGGGTCCTCCCAGGACCAGTCTATGAGGTCCGCTACCTCGCATACCTCTGGCTGCTGTTGGAGAGGGAGGCCGG